ATAAAAATATGTTCTATTCGGTTGCAATTTCTTTATTATTTATTATTGAGTTTAACATTGTTTGAAAATAATTGCGATGTTTCCTCGATCGTAATTGGCAATGGCTACATCCATATATTCGTCTTTATTGAAGTTTTCATGAACGACACAAGTCTTTCGAGCTTGAAAACCAAATTCAATTATTGAATCTTGTACAAAGGGTGTGTGGGTGTGGTGTGTGGCTGGGTGGGTGTGGCTGGGTGTAGGTGTTCAGCCAAAGTTATATGCACACCCACACCCTACATGTGGGCCCCGAGGCAAAGTTTTATGAGTGCCTCGTTCGAAATCTCGTGAAATATTGAATGGAATATGTTCAATATCTATTGGAAGAACATTGGTATAGAAGATAAAGTCATCTTTGGGACTGGGCGCTTTCACATGATTTGGATAGCGACGATTTGATTGATGAGAAAAAGTTGTATTACCATTTGATTGATTGGAACGTAGAGAATGTTCAAGAATTCGAATGGCAAGAACAGAAGCTTTGTGTTGAAGGTGAGAAAAATTGGGCGTTGTCGAAAATGATACTCTCTTGTCATCGGGATCTGCAGGAAAATGGCGAATGGCTCCGTGCATTTCCGTTGGAACATCATTCAGCCAAATAGAAAAGAGTACATCACCGAGTGGTATTCAGTCTAAAAATAGTCAATAGGGTGTGGGTGTCTTGGTGCTCTTGAATAGAAAAGCATACCCATATCTACACCCACACACGCCGTCACACCCACACCCACACCCTTTACAACACTGAAACAGCTGATATTCAGTCGAGGATTAAGTGAATAACATAGGAAGTGCGTTACTGGTTATTTGATAGTATAGAAAAAGCATAGAATTAAGCTGGAAAGAAAAAGACTCAGGGAAAGAATTGTAAATAAAAATGGATAATGAAAATAGAAATAGTTTATCGTTTTTGATCGAAAGAATAGATCAGATGGAAGCACTAAATAAATGTCAATGTATAATAGAACGACAAATTCTTTTAAATGTTCAAATTTCGAAATTCTTCTGGAGTATTATTTTCAAATCCATGAAATGTACTCATTCGACTCGCAACTTGATACCAAGCTTTTTTCAAAACATTCTCCCAACATTTATCATCAACGATGCTAATATTACGCCATGAAGAAAAATTTTTTTTAACATGTTCAAGAAAATTAAGTCCTTGACTGTGTTCATATTGGCCAACTTCGACACGGTTTCGTGGACCAGAAGATTCAACATAGCCATTAAATGCTTGGACATTGGCATTGGCGTGAGTTGATACTCGAACTTCATAGTTTGATTTCGTACTTGCTCTACCTTTTGGTCCACTGAAGTAGTGTACTGACACGGTGTAGATTCCACTTTTAGCTGGTTTGAAAAAGACATTTTCTATCGGCTTTGTTGATGAGCATCTGTTTTGTGGACACGTGCCATCATGAAAGCATACATTCATATCCCTATCTAAATATCCAGAGCACGATGAACATCGTGTGTTTCCGAAAAAAAGTTCAGTCCCACACGGACACTTCACATGTAAATCTAGATCATTACTATCACACCAGGACAATGTAATTGTAACATCTCCTTGACCAACTGAGTATTGACTCATTCTTTCCTTAATTTCTTTACTGTCATGAACTGATAATTGACTTGATGAATTTTCTTTCCATTTGCTATGTCTGATTGTAAATTCACTGTTACATAAATCAAATATATAACCTTTTCTTCCATTCGAAAGCATTTCATACGATCCATTGAATGCCATTAGTCTGTGTTTCTTGGATTGATGTGCATCGTGTTTTATCGTGCCTTCTTCACATTTACAACCACAAAATGGACATTGCTCGATACATCCAAGTGCTTCTTGTTGATTCTTGCTCTTAATGAGATCCTTTTCTTTCAATATATCATCAGTTAAAGTGAACTTAGACTCCTCATTGTTCAATCCCTTTTCATAGAGTTTCTGCATTTTGTTTATTAGAGCTCCTATGAACACTTTTGGATTAGTTATTGGAAAAATTGCTATGTTCTTGAATAGAATATCCGGATTGTCTAATTCTTTTGGTTGCAACCATTGTAATTGTAATGAATGCTTTTCATTTAGATCTTTTAGTTGTTCCCATGTACTTTTCCCTTCTAAATAGGCTTTGAAGAACTTTTGAATACTATCTGAACTATGGGTATCTTGAATTTCAGTTGTCTTGATATCCTTGAAGATTGATTCGAGTTGTTTTAGATTATCAATCAAAATTTTATGTTGTTGACTGTAGAATGTACGATAATCACGGTCACATTCATCATACACAGCAGTATTTTCATTATCAAAAAATGCTGTGTAGACTTTCTTCATATATCCAAGCATGTTTGTGATGTACTCATAAATATCATCATTCTTGTATATTCCATGTGTCCCATAGAAAACTTCATCTGATTTACGAACCAAATCGCTTGAATGAAGAACAGTTTTTTCCTTCAACTTTTCTTTGTATTCCCGTTCTATCTTTGCTAAACATCCACTATTGACGTTTTCAAACATTTTTTTCGCCATAAATTCAGCATTTTCCATATCTCCAAACGTTTTTTCAAGCCTGTCTTGAAAATCTTGTAGTAAATCTGCAATACGATCATTGGCTTTTTGCTCAAGTTTCTCGTATGTACTCTTTTCTTCTGTGATCATTTTCTCAAGAATAATATCATATAGCCATTCGATCAAGTCAGTCCCAAAATTAACAGTAAATTCTAAGTCGTCATCATCCAAAAACTTTTGACTTATTTCATTCATTTTTGCTTGAATTTGTAAGAGATGCTGTTTTAAACATATGATTTCATATTCAGCTCTTTCAGATATTTCTTTTTTAATTTCATTTTTAAGATAGTCATTCATTTCAAAAAACATCGAATAAATAAGTACTAAAGCATCCGAGTCGATGCAGACGTCGTACAAGTCGTTTAATTCTTGTTCACTTGGTTGATTGGATGAAGGCTTTTCATCATTTACTTGATTTTTTTTGCTTCCTTCTTGAGAAAATATGAAAGTACTGGAAATCCATGAAGTGAATTGTTTCCATTTTGCAACTATTTTATTTTCAGATTTTTGTATATGAAGTTTTTCATGTTTCATACGCAATTGAATGGCAGGAGCATTGCATGAATTTTCTTTGTTTGCTCTTGCTGTTTTCTTCCTATTATTCATTAGTCTTGGTATTTTTTTAATAATAGCATCATTTCGCATTGATTTGTGTTCGCAATTGATAAGTGTAATAATGTTATTCGACGAAGAAATTATTTCTGCTGCTTTTTGGTGTAGTGTTGTTGTACTATAGAAGACTTTTTCTACGGGTATTGTTCCAGTTGCTGAGAGGATCTGATTCTTAACGAAATTTCGCCATTGTTCAACAGTTTTCTTGTTTGATTCTAAGTCATTTTTTATTTGTTCTTTTGTTTTATTCATTTCAGTTTTAAACCAGGTTTTGAGTTCTTCTTTTTTCTTCGTCACTTCCTCTTCGGAAATATCTCCTTTAACCTTCTGCCATTCAAGAATCTTTCCGTCACTACGAATTTGTAGATTCGTTAAGGAAGCTTCAATTTTACCTTGAATTTTTCGTTTTTGAGCAATCGCTTTATATTTTTCTACTGCTTGTGTTTTACTTGACTTTATTGCGTAAAATAATCGATCGCGATATTCAATTATTAATTTTTCTGCAAATGAACGTTTCTCAGTTTCTTGAATAAATTGACTTTTAACTTTATGTGTAAAATTGAGTTCTTCTTCATCGAAGCGTTGTTCCACATCAGAATCAAAATTATGTGAAGCATTAACTGTGGCTTCTTGTTCCACTAATATTGCGTCGAGCTTAGAACGAAAACTTGTTTTTTCCTCATTCGGCTCAATAAAATTTCGCATTATAAAAGTAATTATTTCACCGAGTTCTTTTCTTTCATTGATTTCTTTGATTGATTCAATCATGAAAATATTATTAAATAGATTAAGCGTTGCCCAAATCTCCGTTGCATGCTTAACCCAATCACTAAGGCTTTTGAATTTTTTACCATTTTTACTTATTATCGTAGCTTCATCAAATACAATCTTTCGTAAATCTTGAATGAGTTCAGCAAATTTAGCGTTTGTTGTCGACTTTTGAAAAAGTTCCTTATCTCTGTTGTAAACTGAATCTTTGTTAAATGCTGTTAACATCAAGAAAAAGGCTTTTTCTTCTTTGAAATCCAACACTTGAGTTAATTCAAGTTGACTCAACACACAAATTTCTTTTAGTTCTTTCTTAACACTATCAATCATTTCTTTTTGTTTATCGACATTTAAATCCATCATATTTCTCAAAATAAATATAATAACAGGACGAGTTTTGAAAATTTTCAGTTGATTAGCAGCAAAAAGACTAATCGTCAAAATTTTTTTCATTGCCGCATTTATCTCTCCATTTAAATTAATAAGCATAATTTGTGAACATGCCATGGAAAATACGGTTAGCTTTTTATCATATTCTTCATTAGCTTTTTCAACAGACATAAGTCCTTCGGTGTCAAGTACTATTAATGTCTTTGCATTTGGATAGTCAGTTTTAAACAAAGATGCATACAACCCTTTTGTACAACGACCAGCACTCATTTGAAAATTACTGCCAAATAACATGTTTAAAAGAGTCGATTTTCCTGTACTTTGTGGTCCAATGACAGAAACAACATATGGTGCTTCAACTTCACCGAGTTTCATTTCAAGTCCTCGAAATATATTGGCAACAATTTTCGTGTTAAATTCATTATTATCTCCATCAATCATTTCAATTTCATTGCCTTTGTGTATATATTCAATAAATGAACTAATATACATATCTTTATTGAACGATTCATTTCTAGTAGATTGGTTTGCAGGAAAATCGTCATCGCCATACATCGAGAGTAATTCTCGCATAAAAAAATCCTTATTTATGGTTTGCTGGTCAATTATATTCGAGTTTTTTGCTTTTTGTTTTTCTAATTCTTCTAATAAACGTTCAGCTTCTTTCAATTTTTCTGAATGTTTACCTTTGGTTTTCAATTCTTGAATAGTCATTTGACAAATCTTTAATTCATTTAAAATATCATTTCGTTTTTTGAACAATGGTGATAAGATAGGACTTTGCCAAGCGCATACTCGTCGGTCCATTTCAATAATCAAGTTGAACTTTTGTTTTATGAATAATTTATTGTATTCCAAAACCAAATTACTAGGCATAATAGAAGCTTTCGTTCTTGATAATTCAGTTATTTTTTCATCGATCTTGCTTAATTGGACGGCTTTTTGTTCAGTATCCCTACCAATAAGTTTAGCTTTTTGCCTTCGTTCATCTTGTATTTTATTATTTGCTTCAATATGCTTAAACAAGAATGATTGTAAATTCGTCATATTCCTATCAATATTTCGTAATAGTTCATCAATATGAATAGAAAAATTCCTTGTCTCTTTGTCTTGAATAGCAATATAAATATCATCATATCGTTGTTCACATATTTTATTTTCAATTTCTATATAAACATTATAATCTTCCTCTCGAAAACTACCGTTGTTTGGTAATTTGGCAGATTTTTCTCCGATTCCAATTAATGTAAAAAGATTTTCTCTCAAAGCTACTAAATTCGAATTAAATTCTGGATTATCATGTTCGATTTTACATATTGACAAAATATGTTGAACTTCGTTTTGTCGGAGCTTTTCTCCTTGTTCCTTGGTCAATCGTCTACAATCTCTCATAATACAAATGATTTGATGACTATCAAAATTAAATGATTGTAACATTTTGAAAATAGTATTGGTTTCGTCAATTGATGTACTTTGAAGAAGTATCCAACAATTTTTAATAGGTAGCATGGAACAAAATACTTTTAAAAACTTTTGCTGTTGATAAGCATGATCATGAACATCAAATATGGTGAAACCACAGGAAAACTCTGGAGTAGAAAATATCACATCGATACCAACATTTATTCTTCCAACTTTATTGGTAATAAATTGTGTATTAAAAATCTTGTTTAGAAGTGTACTTTTACCGATGGAATTCGATCCTAAAGAAATAATAACTGGACAATCAATTGATAAACAATGTGAATAGGCTCGAAGAGGTATTTTAAACACTAACTCATTACCAACTATCCATTTGTATGCAAATGGTAAAGCAATGCCAAGTTTCTTTAACAAAGAAACAAGGTAGATTTGATGATTTCCATAGCGTTCAATCATGCACACTAATATAGTTTTATAATCTGTTCCATAAACTGGTAATGTGTCATCCCAGAATATTTCTGATGCACAGAGTCCAGATAGATCGATTCCTTTTTTTAACTTATTAATTATAAATGGCATCATTACATCTATCAGTGATTTACCATTGTCATTATCTATCTCTTGCTTAACAATATCTTGAAATTTTTCGAAATCTAAAGGCACTATTTTTGAAAATAAATCTTCAGAATAATCACCATCACTACCAAGCATTATGTTTTGAAGAAGTTTAATATTTTTAAATTTCTTGTCCTCTACTTTCGGTTTTGTAATGATATTCTGAATCTTTTCATTATTGTTAATCGCAGCTTTTAAGATTGGTTGATATTTTTTGATCATTTTGGGTATGATGATTTGCATGGCTTGATCAATTCCATTCTCGATGAGACAAACAACAAATTGATCACGCAGCGAAGTTTCCAAGTTCGTGAATTCATTATCTTTCCAAATTTTATTTAATTCCATTTCCAATAATTCCTTATAGGTCTTTTCTCCCAATGGTTGACATTTGAGAATCGTTGAATCATTAATTCTACTTTCAATTTCTTTGCTCTTCATAAAATCTGATTTGATTTTATCAAAATCTTCCGGTGTACATTCTTCTTCAATTAATTGTAGTCCGCGGTTACAATTGGAGTATAATTCAGCAATTATCGTATCTATATTAGTGCCAATAAAATTGTGTTTTCTCAATATACTTTTAGCGATTTTATTAAAGACTTCGATTGGATCTGAGGCTGGTTTCGAGTTCCAAAGTTTCTTTAGTTTTTCATTTGATTGAACATTCCTAATGAGATTCTTAATCCTTCTCGGCACGATTGCATCTTGTAGATGTTCATTAAGAATCTCGGCAACTTTATCTTGATTATCGAATAGCAATGTTGCAAGCGATTCATAATCAACGTCCTTTGTGGAAATACCTTCGGACTCAAACACTGTGTTTATTTCACTTTGAAATTCGGCATAAACATTATTAGTAGTAACTTGTTTTTTTGCCTGTCTAATTTGTTTAAACTTTTCATTCTTTATAAAATCATTTCTGAAACCTTCAAAGTTCTTTGGTAATAAGTTGTCTTTAATAGTTTCAAATTCGGAGTCTTCCGTATTTTCATCAAATAAGCGCTGTGCTGTATTGGTAAAATCCAAATCATCAGGAAACTTGTATTGTTTCCACAATGATTGCAATTCAGTTTTGAATTGACTAAAGAGATCATCTTCTGGTCCTTGTTCTGTGCAAGTTTTTGTTGCCTCCCAAATGGCTTTTATTTGAGGATGATTAATGAATTTTTCGTGAAAAGAAACATACTTTTGTGGCAACAACACGTCTTTAACATTGTCTAATGATTCTAAGTTTCCATTGTACAAATTAACGGTAATTTGATTAATATCTGATTCTTCTAAAGGCACTTCATATTCATATAGAAGATTAGTGAGCAGTTTTTTAAATTCAGTGAGTAATGGTTGATTTTTGTTCATCGCTAAAATAGGAAAATGGATTAGCAGAATGCATATACGAGAGGGTGGTCAGTCTACTCGGAGACTCCACTTATTTTTATCATTTCATCTTCCATAATATATTACAAAAATATGATTCTTTTTCCCAGTTATAAGACTTGTCTAATGCTGGTAATCGATGAAGTTCAATGGGCCTGTAACTTGTTTGAAATCGAAATAATCGGCATCTTCAAAAACTCCATTGCTATTTACGAACAAATTTTTACGAAGGCTGTGGGTGTGGGTGTGTGGGTGCCGGTGAGCAGTCATCCTATTCCGAAAAGTTACACATTCTTGTATCGCATAAGGCCATCAAACTCATCATCATTCAATTCCGGAATTCCTGACATCCAATTCCTACCCATGCCATCGAATTTTACGGAATTCCTGCCAATTCTTGCATAGGCTAATGTATTCATGTTCAACTGAACATTGCTATAGAAATAGAGATGCAATTTCGCTTTACAATTTCGGAATTGCATCGATATGGAATGACCAGGAATTCCTGCCAATTCCTGTCTATTTCTGCATTGGTTGATATATTCATGTTCAACTAAACCTTGCTATGGAAATAAAGATACAATTCCGTTTTAGAACTCCGAAATTGCATGGATATGGAATGACCAGGAATTCCTGCATTTCCTAGTGATTCCAGATGTGCACAAATTCCGGAATTCGCTTTGCATTTATTCAAGCTCGATCAATGATCATTTAGCCATCCATGATGTATTTGTAATTCCGGAATAGGCAGGAATGAGCAGGAATTCCTGCATTTCCTA